GATACATTCTGAGCGTATTCCACTCGCCAGCTTTGTCTAAATTTAGGAAAGTTCCCTTCATTTGTTGGTAAGAAACTTATTATTGTCACATATACCAATACTAACACTTAACTTCAGTCAGGACATGTAGAAAATATAGCATAGCCAAGTTAGGCTACCTGCGGTTAATTAGACACACATTCAGCCAACAACCAAAATGGTGCCCATGGGAGTATTCAGCTGATGTTAATGTCTTTATTACTTTATATTTGTCAGATAGCCAGTGTAAAGTAATTACGTGCCTTACCCTTATTGATCCCGCAGTTGAAATTGTCTAGGAGCAGGAGCACGGATGCAAAATACATCCATGAGCAGGAGTCACCATGGATGCAGGGGTCACTTGCAGGTGCCAGGTGGGAGCTTCTCGCGAGATTTTGAAGTATCTCGTCTCCTTGTTCAGGAAAAAAATTTACCACGAAAAACACAAAAAAAATTACCACCAAAAACAGGGAAAAAATTACCACCAAAAACAGAAAAAATACTCAGAAAAACAGGGAAAAAAATACTCAGAAAAACAGAAAACAATCCTTAGAAAAACAGGGAAAAAATTACACCAAAAACAGGGAAAAAAATACTCAGAAAAACAGAAAAAATTACACCAAAAACCAGAAAAATAAATAAATTACTCAGAAAAACAGAAAATATTACTCAGAAAAACAGGGAAAAAATTACTCAGACAGTAATTAGTCAGAAAGCTTAGTGTAATATTAAATTGCCCGACGCGGCTCGATCTGTGAGCATTTGCTCACTAAGAAGACTGTTAAGAGTGGGTTAGCTCGAGCTTACAACTCCTTCTTCATGAAAGATCTTCTTAAGCTAAGAGCGATCTGGGAAATGCGTTTTTCTTTCACGGGAGGCTTAAGAGCATTCTTAAGAAGTTCTTAACTCAAAGAGCCATCTGGGAAACACCGCCAATATAAGTATACTTGAGTAAAGCCTTAACATGCAAATACATTGAATTTGATTGTAGCCGGGAATGTAGACTCACAAGTCAGTCTTTAGATGCTTTGCTTAACTAAAGACTGATGACTTTCTCCCTCTCTGTGTTCCAATACCCATACTACCATACTATTTAGTGTGCCAGAAAAAGAATTAGTGTGTCCCAATACATAGTATGTCAGATGCAGTATGCCAAAAGTACCAGGATGTTCTACTACATCCGGTCATATTTCGCAGTATGCATGTCAGCATGCTTCTTTGGCCATTCTGACCCACAATCCTTTGCGCAGCGGAAGTTACGTCACACTGACTGAGCTGCGTGTACAACCAACGCCCACACTTCCTTTCATACATGGTTTATTTAATTTGAGATACTAAGACACTACATATTAGGACTGCAATGATCTGATTATATACTGTCACATATCATACAGTTTTGCAAGAACACGGTTACAACATTCAACTTTATTGTGATTATAGTATAATCAATGTTAGGGTTCAACTATGACTACAATATAGAAGATTCTACCAGTATAGGCAGTGGTGTAAGTGTGGTATAAATAATGAATGAATATGACTAAATATGAATACACTGTGGGCCAGGTATGAGCAGTATAGACCAGCAAATATATAAATAGTAAAAGTCAAACACATATTAAGTAATGTAGTAAGAATGTGCAAGTATGTTACACTACAAATAAAAGTAATGTGAATGTAAGGCTGCTTCACGTGCAGACAGAATATAGTGCCAGCAGCTGCATAGCTGTAAATATATTTAACATCAAACATCTGCCAGCAACAGAGAGCTGTGTGTGAAGGGGGTTAATATGCCTACTGGTGACTAGTTCAATAGACAGGTCACTAATGATAGGCTTGGGACTGTTTACGTGAACACGTCAGTTTATTAGAAACATTAACATACATTACGACATAACAGCAACAGAGCTCTCCAGCACCTCCGACGGTATGCACGACTCTGCCGAGCTTGACGAGAGGAGATTTGTTGCATCTCCGAAGTACAACAAAACAAAATATTCAGATGTGGCGCTACGGACGGCAGCGGAAGGGTCGGAGTTCAGGCAGCGATGTGAAGGCGGATGTAGTGTATCCCAATAGTATGCATACTGCATACTACACTACATATTTTTAAGGGCAGCTGCAGTACATACTAAAAGTATATAGTAGAGGTATGTGATTTGGAACGCAGGCCCTGATTTTGTGTTTAGATGGGCGGATACAATTTCAGAGTTTAAAAAAACTCCCTACGTTGCAGAACCAAAAGTAAATCTGCAGGGCGGTCCTTCAGTGTCTCGCTGAACTCTTGTGCTCGTAAACATAGTCCAACTAGAAACACATGCAGCGATACAAAATTGCTCAAGTCGCTGTAAGTCCTTCATTTCCACAGTCTTGTGGACTGAGCACACGTTTGATAAAACGGAGTTAAATCTCTTGGCATCTATTTTCAAGCTCTCTGTGTGTTTGTTTCCTTGCAGACGAGAAAAGGGGGAGCGCACATTTCCGGGAGGGCGTGTCCTTTTCAAAAATGCAAGAGGCGTTGCTTTGTTGCCGGCCGTTTTCGCCGGTGTGTTAAACACACTTGGAGGAGTGTCCCCAGACTATCAGAAGGCAGAGATCTCTGATTGTCTGGTGGCGAGACTACCGGGAATGAGTCTGCCTAGTTAGTTAGCTATCTAGCTTCTGTGGTTAAAAAAAAAAAAAAAAGGCGGGCACTGATCAAAATAATTCTGCTAGCTAAACTAGAAGATAGTCTGGAACATACATGAGCTGAAGTCAGTTGAATGATTGAACAGCGCATGTTCTAGAGATTTCAGCTTGGTCATTTGTGTGAAGTAGGACTATAGCTGAATTAATGATGATAGCAAAGTAGCCTACTGTAGTTCAATACTGTGCCGCTAGTATCAAACAGGCTTGAGAGCTAATAGCTGGCGTGTAAATGTAGACGTGTTATTACTGATTTCAAAGCAAGTTTCAGTATAAGAAGCATAGTAGGCCTACTGAAATATTGTAAGTAAATACATTTTTAATGATCATTATTATTACTGTTATTATGTTGGAAACTTGGAAATAAACCATCTTTTTGCACCCTTTAGCTCACTCCGTCTGCATAATTTGACCATGACTTTAACCTAAATGCATTTTCTTGAATTCTGGTGATTTCAAAAGTATCATCAACTGAATGGGCACCCTAAATTTAGTTGGAAATGACACCTTAAATGTTTTTCTACTGTGTTTGGTTCCAAAGTTAAGCATATATGAATATTATTGGCGGCCATCTTGAATTTGACTTCTCCCGGGTCTCAGAGGTCAAATCTGACTTCCCTCCACATCTAAAAATAAACCTTATGGTATGTACAAACTATGGTAGAAATTTCATGCCTTTTTTCAAAAAGTGCACAATTTATCTGCTAAGCTGCTGTACTATACACATTTGCATATGAAAAAAATAATGATAGCTCTTATGTTGCAAAGTTGTAAAAGTAATAGAACGTTTTCCCACATTTTCTTCAGCAGGGAAACATGAGGGTCCAGTTTGCCTGTCTGCTGCTGCTTTTTGCCACTGCGCTCTCTCAGGATGCAAGTTTCGAGCATTTCAAAAAACACCATATCTATGAGGAGAAGAGTGATACGGACTGTGACAAGGAGATCGAAAAGAGAGGAATTTTATTCGAAGACAACTGTAAGCCAATCAATACCTTCATCCGTGCCCTCAGTGAAGATGTCAAGAAGCTTTGTGGTCCAGCAGGAAGGCCATATTATGTCAATAGCAGCGATACATTCAACATTGTTGTCTGTAAACTGAAAGAACCACAAAAGGACAGTCACTACAAATGTCAGTACAGTAGTAAAGCTCGAAACAGCAAAATTCAAATCAAATGTGACCAAGGCTTTCCTGTGCACTTTGAGACACACTTAAGATGATTTAAACAGCTGCTGTGTGCCTTTGTTTCCTGTTAAATAAAATACATTTGACAGCTTACAGTTGTTTGTCTTTGTTATAGTCATGTGTAATAATTGAC